GCATGTTTAGATTAACTATGTATTTATTTTATATATATATGACCGATGTATTATTAATGGTTCTTACATCATGTATCATAATGAGTTACTACTAAAAATCCACACATAATTGTGTAAAAATGAGGCTGTGCTCCTTCATCTTTGACTTATATCCTGCATGAAGCAGCTCTTCTCATGCTGGTCAGACATGCTTAGATATGTAGGATGATTAAGATCATTTGGATTATTGCCACTGCAATAACTGTGATGCTCTAAAGGGGCTGGTGTGGCAACTAGATGGCCTGAAGACCTATGTAAGAATAGCAGAATGTAAATTTTTAATTTAGAAAAAAAAAAAAAAAAGAAGAAGAAGAAAAAGCTTTACTTACCATTAAATGCCCTTAAAAATTTGAGTGCATAGGTCCACCAGACAGCTGGGGAAGGGCTGGCTTGCACAAAGCAGGTCAGGGTGACGTTCAGCCCCACTGGGACTGTCAGGTTGGTGTCAAGGGCTGAGGTCAGGGGCTTCATGCAGCTTTTGAGCTCCACTTCATGAAAAAACTTCCCTGCCCTGAATTTTGGGCTTGAGCAAGTTAAATAGGAATTCATCAGAATAATAGGTGGGCTGACTGACTTGATAAACTGGACAAATCCCCGCAGGCGACAGTCGCAAATCCAGGGGTTGTCATGAAGGGCCAGGACAGCATTGGAAATAGCTTCTATCTGCCCCTCCGCCCTCTGGCTTCTCTGGTAGACGGGCCAGCTGTAGAAGACATCCCTGGATATGACGGTAAGCTGATTTGAGGATAGATCTAAATAGGTCAGGTTGGGCAGATAGCGGAGCGCATGTTCTGGAAGGACATCCAGCCGGTTGTGCTTCAGATCCAGGATTTTCAGAACCGGAGTGTCTTGAAACGCTGTCCATGGCACAGAACTTAATTTGTTCCCTTGCAAGCGCAGCTCCTTCAGAGCCGGCAGATATTCCAGGCTCTTGATGTGCATCACTGTGATGTTGTTAAAATTGAGCCAGAGATACTCCAAGGCACTAATGTTCTCAAAAGACCCACGAGGCAATTCTGTTAAGTGAGAATTTTCTATTCTAATTTTCCGGATATCTTGAGGGATGTTTGCAGGGATCTGCCTCAGCAGTGCAGACATGCAAAGCAAACTCCTAAGGAGGAAACCAGAAAATTCTCCAGGTCACAAACTATGTTCATGGATAACAAACCAGTTCCCTATGCAGATCTACAAGCACTTGAATAAGGCATTGTATACAGGGCATGCATACACCATACATCCAGCCTTCATTTTGGTTTTACACCCATTTTGCCACCAAAGCTACAAGTAAGTCATCAAAATTGCTACATATGCAACTACATATCTCAGAGAAATAAGATAAATCTCATTCTATGGTCAAGCTAGTACTATTCAAGAATTAGAGGCAGCATACTATGCAGCCATCTGTTTGGTTTTGGTGTGCGTAACCGGCAAGTATCTATTGGGAATCTCTGAGCAGCTTTGCTGGTGCTACAACTAGAGTAACTAGCATTCTTACCTTCCAAAGCTGTTTTGAGAACAAGAGCATCCTGTGACACAAGACGAAACAGATGGGTTTATCTTGTGGAAGGCCAGAAGAAGAAGAAAAATATGACACATTGGGTCCATATTCTCCTTTAAGAAAGCACTGTGCAGGGTTTGCACCAAACATGCCAACAGCCTCCAAGAAGCAAATCCTATTAGCTGTAATCTTCCTTGACGCAGACATAAATCCTGCTGGGGACCCGACCCTAAAGAAGACATGTATGGTTCATAGCCTGTGTCAAAGTGCTAAAAATCACCCCTGGGACCACTCTTGGCATTTATTCTTTAGCTGCACGATTTTGACAAATGTTTATTTGGTTGGTAATACAAAGATGGAGCCAAAAACACTTCTGTTCCCAAGTCCTTGCAAGTAGTTAACCAGGCTATTTACTTTTTTATTTATTTCAAGGGATCTGTTTCAATCTCCTCTATTTTAATGGTATTTATCAAGGCAGAAAGCGACAGACTTCACAGCTATAATTTGGTAGTGCATAGGGCTGTCTTGCACAAGCCATCAGGACCCAAAAACCTGCCCACAGTTCTGTGCAGGGTGTATTGTTGCACATGGTGAGCGAGAAACTGACTCTCTAGACTTAGTTGCTCTGTCACGGAAATATAAGAAATATGGTACAGTTTTTCTCTTAAAAACAGCTTTTTTTTTTTCCCTTCCACTATCTCCATTCTTACGTGCTAGTAACCAAAACAGCAAAATAGCTGTAGCCAGTCTGTGGGCTGCTCTGAGAAAAGAGTAGCTTTGAAGTTAATCTCTGTTGTATAAATACAAAACTTCAGTGCTATTTCAATATTTTAAGTTCTCTGGCCTCCCCTGGAAGATGTGCTGAAAAATTCAGTCTAAATTATTCTATGAAAGGGGATTTAGAGTAACCAGATTTTTAATTTTTTTTTTTAATTCCAAAAATAGCATTTTGGTTATAAATTCCAAGCCACACTGCGTTCTCCTGGAGCCATCTAGTGTGTATAGGCTTCATTACAGCCCGCAGAAGGCAGCATGCTGTGGGAAAAGGGCTTAACCTCACTGCCAATACATGCGAAGCTGGGTCACAAATCAAGATTAGCCTGAACCTACTTAACCTCTAACCTATGGGAACAGGATAGAAAAATATTTATAGTGTGATGGCTTAGATCTATACATGGCTGTCAGAGCATGTGCAATAGGATAGCTGCTGCAACTGTACAGAAGATGGATTGATTCTGCAGCTTTTAAATCATCAGGCGCTTTGATTTCAAGGCAAATCAGCAAAATGAACTGGTGGAGAAACCGCTGTGGACTGTTGCAGTGTTTCATGATTGCCTTCTGTGAAGAAGCAGCAGGCTGTGAGCAGTGGGCCTGCTGGGCTGCCATTGCTCACTATGCTCAGCGTCTTAACCATGAGCATATAGGATTTTAATTATTTTTTTTAAAGTGAAATGTTGCTTATTTGTCCATGGTGCAGTATTTGATATTTCAATAGCTACCCTACATTTTAACATGTCAGTAAGCCATGAGTGATGGAGCAAGGCTGCTGGTCTGTAGCGCAGCAGATGCAGCAGCTATAAATCCCGCACTTAACTGTGGTGGCTGCTGGGGACATTTCTTGGTGACGCTGTTGCTGTTGCAGTGAGAGTGGCACCAGCACAGATCCCATGAGCTGAGGCAGATACTCCTTATGCACTTTCAGTGTAGCTTAAGCAGCAAAGGGAAACACTCATCAGCAGGGCTGGCTGGCTAAACTGAGAGTGCTGCAGGAATGACATGCTGCACCCACAATGGGAGGATGTGTCCTTCCTGGTCATCCCTCAGCCACGGTAGCAGAGGCCTCAGGGACTCAGTGCACACCCTCCATTGGCATAGGCCTCTGGGGAGACAAACACCACACTCACCAGTGCCTTTGGTCCTCTTCTGTAGTCTGCCATGGAAAGATTCCCTAATAAAATGTCATCATTATTATTACTGTTGTTATATAATTTTACACTTTATTATAACACCTGATATTATTATTTGGTAATAACAGCAGTAAACAACATACAACACAGTTAGTTAAACTATAGCTGGGAGTCAGGAGCAAACCTGGGGTTTGCCCCTGCGTGTGCTGCAGGGACTGGTAGAGAAAAGCTTTCAGCAGAACCAGAAGAAAACCAATGTTTTGATGATGGTGTTCATCATTAGAGGTGATGCAGCACCTTCTCGTGATGGAGCACCTTCCCATGATGGAAGAAATGCCTGAAGTCCACCTCGGTCATTGGCTTGTCCAGTCATGCTGGCCAGGTAGTCATGAGGTGGTAGAGATGCCCATCAGTGCATGGCGTTCATGAGGGAAATGCGCTAGAAAACTATCCACTTTGTGAGCTGCACACGTGCCACCGGCAAGGCTGCCGGTTCAAGGAGAGTTCAGTTGTCTCCAGCATCATGTGGATCAGCAAGAGGGATTCACCACTTTAAGGCCCAACCTTGCACAAATGTCCATTGCTTGTAAGGAAGGCACCTCCTTTGCCACCTTCACAGCCCTCCTGCATGGCCTGCAGGGAGGGTCTTAAAGTACATGGCAGCTATGTCTTAAAAAAAAAAATCTTTCATGAAAAGCATTATTTATTAACAGGTTTATATACAGAGTAAAAATTATTGGCAGTTCCCCGATGTACATCTCTGGGCACAGTACAGGTGCATAATAATGCCCAATGTCCTGGGATACAGCAAGTAAAATTTCACCTAGGCTTCTCTGTTAGAAAGAAATACATTAATTTAAATAAATGAGTTGATTAACAGAAAAAAAAGAATTGCAGTTTGGTTTTTTTTCCCACATGAGCTCTCCTCCCAGTCCCACCTATCTTCCACAAGGCCAGAAAATGGCCTTCTACAGAGTGGTGTCAGTTAGTACCATGGGCCAATGCTCCAGCTGTTTTCAGGCTGATATTTATTTGCTGCTTGAGAGGCCATTTCTCTAAATATTCCCAAATCCCAGCTGTACTCAGAAGGTCCAGTATTAACCTGGGAAACTAGTGGTGACTTATTAAAATCAGATTAATTAGTGGGTAGAGAGTCTATCCACTCTCTAGGGTAGAGACAGTGGGAGAAGAGAAGAGAAGAGAAGAGAAAATCAGATTAATTAGTGGGTAGAGAGTCTATCAGAAGAGAAGAGAAGAGAAGAGAAGAGAAGAGAAGAGAAGAGAAGAGAAGAGAAGAGAAGAGAAGAGAAGAGAAGAGAAGAGAGAAAAGAAAAGAAAAAAGAAAAAGTAAAGGGAAAAAAAATCCCCCAAACAGTGTTAGCTGCAGGCACTATGATTACGTTTCCTACTGGAGTGGGATTTTGTTGCCTTTTTCATTCAGCCCAGTTTATGCCTGCCTGTAAATTTAATGGTCACTTTTGTGACAGCAGATGTCCACTCAGTTCAGCTGGTCTTTAATGTCATGTGGCATCCTGGCCAAAGCCAAAAGGCAGAACAAGATGTCTAAAACCCAAGCTGTCAAAATAAATCTCGATAGAGACATTGTCTGCTAATCTATGGGAAGTAGAACTTAAGAGACTGCATGTACTACCAAAGCAAATGCCAAAAAGGATGCCCATTGTGTGCTCCCAGCAATGGTGAGGGAGTCGAACACCATCTTGAAACAACAGGCACACACAGGTCCATAAGAAATCAAGTCCAGGCTGATGCTTTACAATTACAGTCCCTCTGCCAATGCTATCAGTGTTAGAAATCCCTGCTGGGGAGAACAGACGAGGTGAGGGCTGAAGATGAGTATTTTTAGATACAGTGCATGTAACATCAAATGGTACAGGCTTGAAAAAGCAGCTTTGAAAAAAGAGGGGGGTTGATGTGAAAAGAGGTAAAGAAGACTTTTCCTTCACAAGCCTTCAACAACAACAGAAGCTGAACAAACGCGCAGGTCTTTCCCCGACTTTTTTGAGCAACCCAACGCCCCTGGCAGGGTCCCCTGGGGCACTGCAGCTCCAGCTCCACAGCAAGTCCCATGGAGAGCTGGCAAAGGGGCACCACCTGCCCCCTTTCACCCTCCAGAGGAAAGGAAAGGCTTCCTCTCTTGCTCAGGGTACCTCGACAGGAACAGAGTCCATCTCCCACACCGAAACCAGGATCCAAGGGCCAACACATTCCCATGGGATGTCACCACCAGCAGCCTCCTGCCCCCCAGGAAACATGGGCACCACTCGGAGGCTGGCTGCCGCCTCTGAGAAGCTCCTAATCCTGCTCTCTGGGGTGTACACACTTATTTCTCATCAGTTTGAACCTTTGGTGGCAAATGCTAAATTCTTTCTTTTTAATTTTGATAAGTAGGAAAATAAAATGGGGGTGGGTGGGGTGTGTGTGTAAATATGTTCCTCTGTTTTGGGCCACAATTTGTGTCTTCTATTCATGGACTTTAAAACTGGTGAAGTTCCCACGAAGCCACAGTACTGTAGCACCAACTATTGATTAAATACATCCTGAAACTTTTCAGACATTCTCAAAACACTCTGACATTGAGGGACTTTGATGCCAGCTTCTTCAGGAGCTTTATAACCTTTAGATTTTATTTTACTATTGGAATACTTTCAAAGCCATTCTTCAATGTCCATTCATTTTTGAAAAAATATCTTGAAAAATGTTTTCCTGTCCTTCTTGACATTTTGGGGTTCTTCTTTTTTTTTCCCCCCAAACTTATATATATGCACATGCACATTTTTTAATGATTTAAAGACCTTTTAGTCTATTCTTTGTGGGCACACAGAAATAAATGTGAAAGTGACCACACAATGCAATAACAGCCTTCAAAAATGTTTAAATCACATTGTGGAAATAAGGTGTTTGTCAGCCTGAACATTATTTTGCATTTGTGGAATTTTTATACATATGTGGAACTAAAAATATTGCAGAGCCAGTATTAGCTTTTGTCTGGATCTACTCACCAAATAATCTGGACACCTTATAATATGTTTGGAAAAACATGTTTCAAAGCTTCAACATCTTTTTTTACATTTCTTCCTGCACTTCAACTACTTGCAGTACTTCTTTTTAATTACTTTGGGCACATTATTTCATTTATATTCTGCTCAGTTCCCTCAGTTTGATAGCTGCTTTTCTCCAGATCCTTTTAAGAAAAAGAAATAATAACAATTTTTCAGTACAGTTCAGAGCTATTTGGGTTAAATTTTAAAACACTATTACCTTCTTTTTAAAACCTTATCCTTAATTTTTCAATTTTATACTAATCATATTTCCAAAATAAGTATAAAAAGATACTGTGGGAAGAGGAGCTTGTCTTTGTTATTTATCACATGAAATGCCCATCAAGGAGTGGCTCATACTGCTCTCCAAAGCACTCAGCCCAGGCAGCCGGCGCATCCTCCTGCCTAATGCAGGTGGACAGTTACTTTATTCCTAAGCATTGCTGAAGTGGTCCAACTCTCATCTGAGAATTAATTTTAAAATGGTTTAATCGTAGGGAACATTGCACTCCAAGAGGTTCCAAAATATACTGCTTGACAACAGTACCAAAAAACTTGAAATAGACTGCAAAACGCAACAAATTGGTCAAAATTTGACACAAAGAGATTATTAACAGAGGAAACATTTTCCAGAGAAAAAGAAAACTGAACATAACAAAGTGTCAAAAAAAAACCCCAAACACACACATTTAAAATGCTACTAATGCAGTAATTCCGAAAGATATTCAGGTGTTCATTTTGGTTCTTACAGCACATGTTTGTCCGAGGACTGACTTTAATCAAGTAAGAAATTGTTTCCAGGGCTGAATCTTCTCCTTGCCTGAACTCTGAGCCAGCTCCATTCACATGTCTTATGAGCAGAGAGGGAAGCTTGCCTGAGCTAACCCTGCTGAAACTAGGTGCCTAGTACCCCTTCAGTTAAAACAACAAAAAAATCCAGAGGTATTTATCTGCTTCTTTACATGCCTCATACCACTGAAAATCTGACCCAGAGCCTTGAAAGTCACACTCAGCACAAAATCATTTACTTAATATTTTGAAGTTTCACCCACAGTTTAGCAAGTATAGGGTTTCTCTTCTGACCTGCACCAGATGACACAGAGTTTATAGAAGTTTCTATCTATTGCCTATCTTGTGTGAATCACCAGTGCAGGAGAGAGAGGGCCTTGTTTTGGAGCAGTAGCAGCTGAGATGCTAAACTGTGATGCCTCGCCTATGAGACATAGCCATAGGAAATAGAAAAGAAAAATCGTTTGTTCTACTTGGGATCGCTATTTATTCAAAGTGCAAAAAATATCCAACAGAGTCTGTAAAACTTAACACATGCACAGTGAATGTCACAGGATGACCTGTCCATCCTCCACTCCCCGCAAGCAAAGAGCAACAGCATTGGCCCAGATGGTGCCTTTTTCATTGCTGACTCACAGATCGGGTGTCGGAGCATGCACCGGAGGAGCAGGCAAGAGCTGCTCATCACCAGGGCTGGATGCAGCAAATTACCCAGCTTGTGCCTCCAAGCAGCCAAAAGGTAAATACCTCTCGTTCCCAGTCAGCTCCTGCAAACCTGACTTACAGGAAAGTTCTTGGGCAGTAGATCCACTCCATTCACTGCAGGAGAGCTTTAGGACAGCTTTGATTCCTCAGGGCTAGCTTATCCATCCAGGGCGATGTCAGGCTGATTTCTGCACAGCGCAGTGATGCTGTTGCAGGTGTGGGCAGGAATCAGGTTCAATAGACAGCAATCCTTCAACTTATCCCAAAAACTGCTACTGGAAGAATATTTTTGTTCTACCTTGGAGAGAGAGAGAGACTCTAAAAATCATCCTGGGACATGAAACTGTACAAATAAGTAAAAGATCTATTACATACTACATATTTCATCAATTAATTTGTTGTATTAAAATACGTAATTTTGCACAATGATTTTTGTAAATCTAAAAATCTATGCAGGCCAGTGATAGAAGTAGCATATTTTAAACAGGATTGACAAATTCTCCCAATACAAGAAAAGGTCTTTATCATTAATGTAAGAAATACAGGGAGTCCTACCAGAAACTATTGTATCCTCTGTTGCTAGTATTTATGCTGAGATCAAATGACTTGCTTTTTCCATCAGGCCAAGTAATCTGACATAACTGAAACCCTCTGTACAAGAAAGACTTGCAAAATCCATACAGGGCTTCATTTCAACCAGTGAATTTTGTTAACCCACACTCTATGTGCACATCCAGAATGTGAGTGGAGATCCTTCCAATACATTTACAAATACATATTTCAAAGCAATTCAGCAAGCTTTATCAGTTATCATTTCAACTTGGCTGGACCCCTTCCATTCAACATTTGGCAGATAATATATAATTTTCTTCATGAAGAATATTTATTACAAAAAGAAAAACATTATATACAGTATTACTACATGAGAGACTGGAGTGGAAAATTATACTGCTGGGAAGTTCTTCATGATAAGCACTCAGATCCAGATTCCAGTGGAGCTGCAGGACTTAAATAACTGATTAGCTCACCTTGGCTATGAAAGTACATTTAGATGAATATTAGACAGTTTCCTTGAACTTGTAAAATGTTTGTAAACCGAGAAGTCTGCACTGAGCTTCTGCCACCACTGATGCCATGGTGGAAGTATGGCTGATGTGTGCCTGGCCAGCAGTCAACCATCAACTGCACTGCAGACCCCTGCTCTGCATGGAGCAAGGTATTTTCATGACCAAACCACAAGTGCCTGGCTGAGCCCTTCGGTCTTCGCCACCAGTTTTGTCAGGAGAGCCAGCAGCAATGACAGGGCTGGTCTGGGAGATTTTTGCAGAACTGTCTAATGTAGGTTTTTCAGTATGATTACAAAGCATTACAACACCACACACAATTTGCAGAGTAGGATATTGTACGATTTTTAACTAACACAGCTGATATAAAACATACTCTACTAATTACAACACAGCTAGAAAATGCCAGCTAGGTGTGATACTGAAAGACCTGTGCAGTACTGTTGTTCAAGAAAATCTTAAGGAATAGTGTTTAGGGCCAAAATGCAATCACAAAATGCTCTCTGTTAAGTATTGTTAGGGATGGACTGGGTTTTGTCTCTTGATTTCTATCATCTCACTTGCACATTTCTCTGAATTCAGAGCATAGAGCCCTTATTATGTCGGACAAACTAGAAAGGGCTGCTGTACATCTGCGTTTAGTGATCTATTAAGCATCAAGCTGCATGTTTCATGCAAACATGGGGCATGTAAAAGGTGAGACTCTCAATCTTCACCTTCACAGATATTTATATTTAAATTACTAAACACTCCCCTGTTTGTCAACCATAAGAACATCAAAATAGCTGAGAATAAAATACTTAGCATATTGCAGAGCAGGTACTAAACAACACCAAGCAGAGCGCTCTCAGAAATGTTGCTTAATGTCCTCACACTCAGTGTGCACGCTTCATTTTACGAAAATAAAAGTGGTCCAAGAGAATGAGGCCATTATCATAGAAGCTTTCGACTGGGTACAAAACAGCACACCCCAGGTGGGATGAGCAACATGTTTCTGTAAAGCTTGGGCACCATCTACCCTCTTGCATCCTCCTCCAGAACATGTTGAAGATAGTAGCATTGACAGGGTGGCCTGCCATGCTGGAGCAGAGAGTCATATATACAGCCACGTGCTTTCCACCTAAGCGAGCTGACTATCAGCCAAGTTACTATCAGCAAAAGTATTCGTTAGGTTGCCCCTCTATCTTTGGTATTGCTTCTGAGTCCACGCTGGATCTAGCAGACAGCAGCCTGTTCGACTCATCGGGGGTATGTCTAGTCAAGTATTCTCCTTCCACGCCTTTTGCCTTGGCCCCAGGAGACAGGCTTTCAAAGGTGACATAGGACTCCTGAATTTCCTTGGGTTTCCGCACAAAGCATTTTTTGCAGCGCCTTTTCAGTGCGCCACAGCAGACCACCAGCGTCAGAGGAACAGCAATGACACAGGCCACGCTGATGACAACCACATTGATGAGTTTCTGGGTCCCTCCTGCACTAGCAACTTCGTCTGTGGAAAATATGATGCATTGCTCCTTCCTGGGGATCAGCCCTTTCACGCAGACGCACACAATGTATTTGGTCTTTGGCAGCAGCCCATAAATGGTGACCTTGGTCTTCCCTGGCTCCACGTTGATCCGCCGCATGTCTCTCTCTCCAAAGATAGCGTAGAGGACACTGAACACTGTCGTGTTCTTTGCCAGAGGCGCCTTCCAGGCCAGGGTGATACTCTGGTCAGTGTCTCCTATCACCCTGACGGACCTCACGATTCGCTCCGGCTCCTGCTGACCGGTAGGCGGGCTCACCAGCAGGTTTCTGGGGTTGCTATCTTGTGCCACATCTGGGAGGAGGAGGCCCGCTCCAGTGCCCACTCCAGCCCTGAGGGTAGGCACGGTGGAGGTGGTGATAACATACCTTGCCACTAGCTTGTCATTGTAGGCAGCTGCCTCCATCCCACTTGCCTTCCCGCTCCATGCGCCTTTGGCATTAGAGTTGGGGTCATCAGTGCTTTCTGAGTCTGTGATGATGAGAGATATGAACGCCTCTGTTGCCCCCAGAAAATTCTTTGCTTTACAGATGTACTCGCCAGAGTCGAGATAAGAGACTACAGGCAGGCCCAGAATAGACCAGCTCATCCCATCACTGGAAATCTCTTGATGAACTGCAAAGAAGGAAAAATGTAAAATAAATAGGCAATAATCAAAAGAATTAATAACACGTTTTGTAAAATATTACTTCAATCAGCCAAATGTCTGCTTGATACAGCAGAATCATCACTTCATTTTACCACCAAGAACATTACAAAATCAAAGTAAATCCAGGAAAAGGACATTAACACCAAAATTAGGTTATGTTGGGATTCACACTGCTTCAGACTGAATATATGTGAAGCATTTGATGCTATTTCCTTTCAATTGATGTACAGTTTGAAAACAAAACAGGCAAGGTTCTTCCATTAAAAAAAAAAATCTTAAAAGCTCTTATGTAGGTACAGTACTTAAAAGAGTGGAAGGAGTAGGCAGTAACATGACCTAGTTGAACATTAGATGCAGTCCTCTCAGTCACAGAAAATATAAACAGTGGAGATTTTCTTCTAAAAACCATATATGGACTAGTCTAGAATATATGGAGAAAAATAGCTGAAAAATAATATCCCTTTTACAGCTAAATTAGTGCAGGTTTTTATATTGAGCCAAACACAGGGAAGTCTGATCACTTACCACTGAACGATAAGTATGCAGCTGAGTGTTGATGTTCTCACTTGGTTTACCAGGAGGCTAAAACTAGCTTTTTTTGCCTTTTTCTATTTGTGTAGAAAAAGAGCTGGGATCGTGCAGAAGGGTAAAGCGCCTTCTTCATTATTTAACCAGCCTCCTTAGGATGAGCACGTACTATCTCTGCCCTTTCCCACTGAAAGGTAAACCAGGGAGATGTCTGAAGGGCAAAGGTAAGACAGGATGCAAACTTCTCACAAGCCCTGGTGGGGTCAGGATCCAGCCTTGGCAACCAGGGCACGTTCCAATGGCAGTGAAATACAATGGCAGCAGAAGTTACTTTTTCAGTTTAATTATTTACTGAACGGGTATATTAAAAACCATAAAGCTACCTGTCTTCCTATGGCACTTCCTCATACATACAGACTGTGGGCTGTTTCTCATTCCTTTCTACTCAGAGCATCAACATTTCAAACAGTCATATTATAGCATTGGCGCAGAAGCTGCCATTGCTGAGAAATAATGTATATTTTCAGCCAACTTTTTATCGAAAGGTGCTAAAGTCTGATTTAATGGGGCACGAAATACATCTTTCTCAGTTGAAGCTCAAAGTAAACTCAGCATACACTTTCAGGAAAGCATTCTCTGTTTTATTTTTTGTTGTGGTTCTCTTTCAAGTGTAGGAGGGATGTTCGCAGCATGATGGGTAGACATTATCATTATGAGGAGCAGCTCTGCTACATCCTGCATATCATGCACAACAGAGCAATGACTTGTGCAGATCCAAAAAAAGGATATTTATTACAAGTGGTTCTATTGCTATGAAAGAAAAATGCACTCTCCCCTGTTTCTGTGCACTGAGGAGTCCAGTAACACTTTGAAGATCAGACACCATACTTAGCGCTTTATCTGCTGAGTTTAGACCCTCTATGAAAATCAGGGCCAAGAGACAGTAACATTCAGGGGAGGTTGGAGGCATGAAGGTTCAAGTCCTGATCCAAAACTTCTAGGGCAAAAAGCTAAGGATGACTGCCTTGAGTGCAGCGAAGATTTCTTTCCTAAATTCCCCAAACATTAAAGTACCAACATTGCAATTTGGGGTCCAATCATTCTTGTGAATGGAAATGAAAACATGTGACATGATTGGTCACAAAAACAGTAGTTGTTTGAAGGCTTCCCCCACAAGAGGGGTGAGCAAAGAAGAGAGACCTGGTCAGCATTTCTGCCACAAAGCATTTTCCCAAGGCACCTTGTCAATCCATCAGAAATTAATCATTTCTTGGAAGCATTGTCACTGAAGTATTGTATCCTTCAGCAGTTTAGTGGCTCTTTTCTCTTTTAATATACCAGTAATGTTGCGTGTTTGCAATCTTTTCTTTCTTTGCCACAGCAGGTTTGAATCCCAGTTGAATTCATGTCAGACATCTCTCTGGCAGAGATGTTTACTAACTGATTAATAGTAGCTCATCATTACTCTCAAAGACCCATAAAATAATTCAGTGGGAAGCCTTTTCAGTGACTGAAAAACTAAATAACTAACCTAAAAAAGCCTCTTGCTACAGCTGGACATATTTCATTTCTTCAGCTACAACAGATTTGCAGAAAACCCTTTGATTCGTCTCACCACTACCACAATTGTTAGAAAACAAAGCAAAACCAACTTTTTACACGTGTTAGTGTACAGTTATCTGATGATATTTACATCAACATGTAAGTAATTTTGTAGAAAATCACAATGCAATAGTGAATTACACGGGATATTATTGTGAATTATAGTGAATATTAATTTTGCACCACTTTCTTTTTTTGGGTCTTTTATCAGTAGGTAGGATCTGTTGTCATAGAAGCTTCCATTTGCTCTACAGTCCGTAGAAAATAAAGATGCGGGTCTCCCTCATTCATTCCATGTGTATGAGAAAAGCTTAAACCAAACCCACCTGTGCCATTCAGTTGAGCACCATCAGCCCTTCTCCAGCTGAGCTCAGGAATAGGCACCCCTGTTGTTCCACATCGCAGTAGCACAGTGCTGCCGAGGATGGTCTTTACTTTGGCTACGGATGTATGTACGACGGGACTTTGACACTTCCTTAGCTCGACTTGGCTGAAGACAACTCCTGCAAGGCTCCGGGGGGTGAAGCATTTCAGCCTGGGCTCAATGAATGCTATGTTAGGAGACTGGAAATTTAGGAAATGGACCATTTCATACAGACTGCAGTCACATACCCAAGGATTGTCTTGCAAGCCTGTCAAAATAAATCAGAAGACTAAGTGACTCCAATAGCACCTTTTATTTCTGCCACTTTTCTATTTTTCAGCAGAACAAACTGTGGCAGGCTCCTAATCTGCCCGTGCATATGCAGGGATATGTGGGGGGAGCGGTTGTCCTGACAGCCCTTTGCTGCTGTTGGCTCAGCCTGATGGATCCTATAGTTGCCAGTTAGTAGAAGAAAGTAAAGAAGTAAAAACGGCTTGCTAAGGTATCTCAAAATCTGGAGCTGAAATCATATTCTTTAAGTTCAAAGCGGGACTATTCATATAATGAAAACATCACCATTTATGCACATAAAGAAGCAAAACAAGAAGTAGTTATAAACACACTTGGTTCCAGAATGGAAAAAATAAGTAGCCACGGGGGACGGTTGGTTTGTTTTGGGGTGTGGATTTTTTTGGTATGAAGAGACTATGGAGTCTCTTCCTTAGACAGGCTAGGAAATTCTTCTCACTGGAGATTATTAAAATATTAGCCAGATTATCAGGCCAACTGTCAGGCCTGCAATATATGTAGGTGATCCTACGTGATTGTAAGAGTTCTCTTCCAGGCCTGTTATTCTAAGTTTTTTTCATTATTTTAGTAATCAGTGTTTTTTTCCTGAAATGCTAGTTTGCATCGATAAGATGAAAGAACTGTTTTAAGGAGTAAATTGAAGAATATACATTTTATGGTATATAAAAGAACACAGACAATAAGTATATTAAGAATATACATATAGAAAGGGGTATATTGAAGAATACACTCCTGTTTTGGAGTCCCAGAATGTTTCTCTTTTTTCTGCTATCTCAGTGAGTGCTTATTGAACTCAAATTCTGAAAAAAAAAAAAAGAGACATTATTAAAAATAAATCTGTGAAGATGATACTGAAAAAGCAAAATCGGAACTAGGGCAATGCAGGAACAGAAGCTGCATGCTGATTAAATCTGTGTCATCCTACTTACAAATATTCACATTCACCTGACAATTTATGGTCTCTAACAACTTTAGCTAGCAGAATTGGCACTGGGGATGTTTATACCACCTAGGCATGCATTTAAAGCCTAAGCCAGGAGCATAGCATCCCAGGCCTCTTGCCTGCCATGGGAGTGTGCTCTGCTCCCTCCAAGGGGACCTCACCTCCTCTTTTCCACAGGCAGTTCAAGGACATGGCTCAGGGCTGGCAATTGCCTGGAAGTCAAGAGTACTAATATTCCCTCAATTTCCAGCAGGAGGAAACAACAGCTGCCCACCCTGTGGTGCCCACTCATGCTGGCCCCTGGCGCACAGCAGCAGCAGTCATGCAAGCAGCAGCTTTCCAGCAAGAACCAAGTTTTGACCCAAGCACAGAGGATGCGCTACAAGGCTCCATGGGCATCAAAGAGCTGCTTGAATTTTCTAGAGTCAACAGAAACACAGGGTCAATCAAAAGACCCTGACACCTCAAATAGACCATTTTAAAGATGGCTGAAAAATCTCTCGCTGAGACCATGCTACCCAGGCTTAGAAGGGGATCTGAAAGTGGTGAACCTTGGTGGGAGGGCATTTCTTATAAATTAATGTATTAAAGTTAAGGGGACTATAAAGAATGAAAGTTCAGAGCTTGGCTTTGGTTTTTTCATGGCATTTTTGCTAGCAGCTTACTTCTGACTTCATGCACTAGATAACAATTTATTCTGGATTCCCTGGCAGGTGCCCCAGCCCCAGTCGATGGCGTGGCACCCCCACAGCCCCAGTGAGGCCTTTGCAGCCCTGCATGGCACAGTCCTGTGGGCTCACGTGGGCAATCCTCATGTGGAAAAGCATACTTTTTAAAGTCGTCTACAAGCAAGGGATCTGAAGAGGAGTCACACTGATGCACTGTAGACAAAGGAAGAGACTGGGCTGACTCTTTATTATTCATGGAATTTTTTTATGCCTCCATGAGAAATAGTCATGGGCAGAGTGAAACAGAAACATGCAGCTGTGTTCTTCCATTCTGCTCCTGTGAGGGACATGCTTTTCATATACCTGGTCCCTATGGGTGTCAGCAGAACAGGACCTAGGAGCTGGAGTGTCTGTACCTTACTCATTTATTATACTCATTTGTCTACATGAATTGTTTAGGATCCTGGCACAAGCAACCTGTGCACAGCTGGCTACGTAAATACTCAGGCTGGCCACGAGCATCAAGGCATGATCTGTTCTTCTCAATAAAATACTGTCCTAATCTATTTTGAGTAGAACAACATTTTTACATGTAACTTGATTCTAAAAATAAATAGAGTACAATCTAGGCAGTGTCTTGTCATGTCACAAATTAAATGGGCAATCCCAAACAGCCAGCTTTGGTTTAAAGAACTTGATACTGCATCTGGCAAAAGAAGATGACAAAACACCTGCTCCTCTCCTGACGTTAATGAAAACTTAAACAACATCTGCTAAGGACACTAAAAGCTTTGTAGGTGGCAATTTGAATCTTTTTAAAGTCTTGTGTCTCTTTCCACTGCAATCTGGTTTTAAAAACTTTACCCCCCCCTAAATTTATCCAGAGAACAAAGAGCAGTGGGTACTTCCCAGAGTGAAAGAAAACTTGCGATATCTCTGATGAGATTATGAGCAAGTGCCTGAACTCACATCTGTGGCTGTAGAGGCAGTACACACAGATACACACCCCCTACAGATCAAACACAGTTAGTGGAGCTAGGTCAGCTCATAGCAAGTGAAGACAGCAGATGGCAACAGCTCTGAAACATCATCAACCTGCCATGGATTTGAACCAGTGCACGATCGCTAAAAGGCTGAGTAGTAATCCCCTGAACTAGTAAATGTGCCCGAAACCTCATCTGGGGATGCTGCAACTGAGAGGATTCAAGACAGTCATTTGTAATATGCCCTCTGACAAAAAATGGACAATTGCCCCAAAGCCATACTTCTGAGGAGCCCAGAACTGTCACCAAAAAGTGGATTCTTGTAGCTTTATAGCTGCCCTTGAAGGCAGCACTATCTTGGTGGCTTTGCGGAGGCTAGGGGTTAATTCTGTGTGAAAAGATAAACAAGGCTCCGGAAAGAGACAAACTGGTAGTCCTGACCCAGATTTTACGCTCAGTGATGGCTTTATTCCTCTTTAGTTTGGACATAACAAATAGCCATCTTTTTATTTAGCGCTGCTTAAAATGGATTGATTCCATAGTAACTGTTATTAGAAAAGAGCACATGAATGATGTGGAGCTCTAATCATATTTGTATTTCTGTCAAAAATGGCAGTGTCAATAAATAAAAAGGGCTTGAGCAAGAGTCACCAGTTTTGTGTTACAAATACTCAAGCAAGTGATGAAGTTTATGGTGTAATAAACTGGATGTGAGGAGCCTGAGGTGAGTTTGTTAATATGTAAATGAATTTGCACACTTTATATGGGGTATTAAATTGTACACAACAGTGTAATTGTTGTGGTAACCACAGTGGGTAAAAACGCTGCAATAAGATGCAGAGCTCTTGACATTGCCCCCTGCAAAATGACAGGCACTTCTCTTACCTAGGATGATCTTGGAGTTATCATTGGGGAAATAAGGAACAGCCTGGAGGTTGGCCCAGGTGGCAATAAGAGCCTGAGGAAGAGTCATAAGCTTATTGCTAGACAGGTCCAGGTATGTGATATTCTTGACATAACGAGCAGCATCTGGAGGGATTGAGGTAAGTTCGTTGTTGTGTAAATCCAGAAGCCTTAGCTGTGGCATGTCAGCCAGGGTTTCCCAGGGGAATGATATTAAGTCATTCCCATCCAGCCTCAGCTCCTGCAAGCGACGGAGGCCCTTGAAGGTGATCCCACTGAGGCTTGCCAGGGAGTTATAGGGCATCCAGAGGTATTCCAGATTGTGGAGCGCATGGAAAGCCTCTCCTGGCACCCTGCGGATGGCTGTCTTTTCTATCCGAAGCTTGGACGTATCTACAGGGATGTTCACAGGAGTGAGGGTCATCTCTGGGTCATTACACAGCACTGTCCTGGTAGGGAAACACAAACACAGGGGTGACTTTCTTGTATTTTGAAAAGCTTTTGAAACTTTATTTTAGTGCAAGATTTTGATCTGCCTTTCTTTCTTCACAAGCTTTCTACTTGTGACTTCTTACTTGCTGCTGATCTCTACATCATCACCATAAGCACATCAACTTGCAGTAATTCGCATGTACCTTTTGACTGCAGAGATTGCAGTGTTGTGCCTCTCATGGAGTGGTGTGAGTCTGAGTCTGGCCTATATAGTGTTTCCTGCCTTTTTTTCTTTCAATTTGTTTTAGAGTACTTATGATAGACAGCAGTGACATTCATGCACAACAGAGGATTCTAGTGCATATTAAAACAAAAGGATCCATAAATTGAACAACAAAAGACATAAAAAAAGAAGCCTTACTGACGTGTGGGATGGCAGAAAATAAAATAGATTAAATACAGCACAGGATCTTTGGTACGTGAAATGAGGATAAGAAAGTCAGCTAACAACTCACTGGAAATACACTACAGTATTTACTATGAAATAGTCTGGAAGGTGTGTACAGATGGTAGCAGTCACTGCACTGCAGGCATGTACAGTTATGAGAGTGAAAGTGCAGAAAATTAACACTTTGGAAAACACTACATTAAAAGCAAGGCAGATTTATGTGTGTTAATCGTTCCTTCCCATTTCTAATCTCTAGAGGTCAAATCATGAAAACTCTAAGCTGCATTTTCACAGCCTTCGTACAAAAAATTGCGACTTTGACTTTGCCAAGATGTGGGATCATAGATAGCCATGGGGAATGAAGGGAGACAAAATAGGTGTCTCAGACTGCACTTTAATTTGCCTATCAGCAAGGAGAGAAAGGCAAGTTCTTAACAAAATACAAAGCCACCTTGCAAAAGGTAACATGTTAGATAGATAGGCATGTCCCACTCCACATGCTAAACAAGATACTGCAAGAAATGTAATGTGATCTGACAAGTAACATTTTCTTATCATGCTGCCTGACTGATAAACAGAACATAACAAAGCTGCCAAAACCAGATTGGTTTTGACTGAAAGCAATTACTCCTCTGCTATCAACAAAAACAAATAACATCACTGAACTGCTCATGCAAATTTCCCAGAGTTAAATGTTATTTGAGTCTACAGTTAAATTGTTAATTTAGAATCAAAGCATAGTACATTACTCTCATCCAGCACTTTTACTGTGGCATTAAATTCTACCCACCCTCTGCTGAAAGTTGAGATTTTGAGGAAGAGAAAAAATCTATCAAATGAGAAAAACCTATCAAATAAGAAAAATCCAGAAATCCTCTTTCAAGATTTTTTTTGTGTGTAGGCATGACACAAAATGTTTGATAACAGAGACACTATGGCAGTAAAACTGTGCTTCTCATACTGTCCCTAAACCATGTCAGTGAGCATGAAATATTTAATCTATGGGAGAATCTCCTTCTACTAGTGAGAAATATGAATCATAATGAAGAAAAATGGTGACATTATGCTCCTTAAGGGACTAATGGATATTTGCTTGATTATGTATCTTAGCAAAACACATTACAGCTTTTTCCAGTCACTGAGAGGAAATTCCCCTGGGAACTGTGACATTTATGGAGCAATAATTGGCTCTCCCGCTATTGCACTCCCTTTTAATAATTGCAGACTACTGGTGTCTCTACCATGCTTCTTACTGGGAAAGATTCTGGTATTAAATCTATAGCACCATAAAAGAGATAAGAAAGTAGATCTATTTCATGGGGATCCAAAATACAGGGGACAGACAGCTTTTCATTTCAGTACTGTGTCTTGTCTAGAAAATAATTATTCCAAAGGATCTTGCAAATACTGTATCTCTGTCATAAAACCTCCTCTACTGTGAACCATACCTTATAAAAATGTAGCCTATATTTCATTAAATCAGATCGTTACTTTGTGATTGCCCCTCAGAAAGACTTTTTTATTAGAGTCTTCCAGAGAAATGCCTGCACAATGGCATTGCATTCAAAAATGGATGCCCTTCTGGTCTTGTCGTCTTTTTTACCTGAAAGTTTCCAGCCTGAGAATTATTTTATTTTTATTATTATCTATTTTTTTGGTTCATTCTCATCCAGAGTCTATTGCTTTGACTAAAATCTCCAACTAAAGGATTTTTTAAGTAAATGGAATTGCAGTTTTTGGTACCACAGCATAAACCAAATCTAGTTCCACTTTAGAAACAAACCAGCAGAGCAGAATAAAGCCTTTTAAAACTAGCATTTTCAGCATAAAGGTAAAAAAAAAAGAAAATGTTGCTTAAATTTTATTCCCTTTTGCTGTTGCACCAGCAGTAATTATGTCACTTCTGTTCCGAAAGATGAGATGCCCAAACGCTTTCTCTGAAATCAGCTTACCGCGTTTTCAGAAGCTAATCCTCTGCAAATAAAGCTAGAGCGTAAAGTGACTGGAAAAATAATGGACACAAAATCTGGATGCAATATTTTCTCCTCCAAGCATCCTTGCAGAGGAGAAGAAATAAAATCCCCGACACCCAGAGAAAGAGCAGCAACTCCCCTGGGGAGAGTATCAGCATACCTGGCTTTCGTCCCTTCGCTGAGGCTGTGGAAGGCGCAGCTGCACTGCGATGGGCATGAGCCGCCTGCCCGTGGCAGCCCTCCGAGCATTGAGCAGCAGAGCAAACTCACCACGATCCACATGGCTACCTGTGCATGGGAAGGACACCTGGGCACTAGACAACGTGGAGGGTTTCGCCTATTGTTTTATCCATTAACTGGTCACATCTTGTTAACTCCCTTTCGTTTTCAGCCGCAGTGTGATCTTCCAGCCCTCGCTGAGTCCATCAGATAAAAAAGGATAGGCAGGGATTAAGGATGGGGACTTGAGTTATTTTCATGAAGGTGCTTATTGCTTCCTGGAACCATACTGACAGCATTTCTTCCCTCAGGGAGCCCCATCAAAACACCATCCTCAGGCAATCTGTGGCTCTTGTGCAAGAAAAAAGCAAACACACTTTTTGGGGACCTGCATCACAGGCAAGATAACTGTTATCTGACCAGGAATTAGCAATAATTTACTTCCTCACAGGGAATTGGGAATACTTAAAAACAGTTTATTGTGCTAACGGAACATAAGCCTCCTATATAAGAATACTACACATATATAGTGATACTATTAAAAGGCTTTATTTTCTTTTAAAAGTTCCTAGTTTTATCAAGCAATTATTGAACTGTTGGCAACATGTCTGATGTTAACAAACAATTAATAACCCTGTAAATATGCATATATTTCAATTTGTACCAGGGCTAGCACATGCCTGCAGGACTGTGCTCTGACTTGCTGATACAGCAAAGCCCAGACCAGGACCATTTTTGGGAGCACCACCTGATACAGGGCCATGGGAGAGTTTCAGGAATGCTAAGAAAAGCTCAGCTCTGTCTTAAGGACAGCCCAGGACTGAGTGTCAAATTATTTTTGTCCGCTCCTCTTGAAGACAGCTGTTTCCCATCTACTAGCAAAGGCAGCCATAATTGCAAAGCTGATGGAGACCATCCATGTTTTCAGCAGTCTTTATCTGACTCCAAAGAATGCAATACATGTGAGAAAAGTAGAGCCCAAATATGCACAAATATAAAGCTTAAGAAGCTGCTACTTGAGATCAGAGCAGAATTGTACTCATACTAGCAAGGACATCTCATGTTTATAAAGACTATTATTTTCTGTTGAGTGTGAAATATATAAATCACACTACAAATATGCAACACTCCCCTAAAAGTAAAAAGCTCTGGAGAAACTGATAGATGATTACTTTCACCCTGATCAGATTGCTACTCCCCCACTTCCCAGCCATACTGCATTATAGCTTTGGCAGAAAATGTGACCCCTGTGTCAGACAAAAAACCAAGAAAACACAAGGTAGAAGTTAACAGAAATGAGGAGTAACTGAATGGAGCTGAACAGCTAGAGATAAAGCACTAATCAGACACTACTCCTTTGGCGAAGCTTTAGGAAAATATTTCTCTTCCAGTTCTGGAGCTCGGGAAAGCCTCAGTGCCCAGCAGAGTTACAAGGGAGAGTGCCAGACACCTCACTCCAGTGTAAATCATGAGCAATTTTACTAAAATCCTGGACCCTGTTAACTCAATAGGAACTCTGCCATCTGTTTCACCTGAAGAGATGGGAGTGTGGGATAAAATGTGGCTGAGGTAGAAACCACCCAACATCCTGTTGGCCTTTCAGCAGCAGTCACTTCCTAGCTTCCCTTTTCTTTACCTAAGGTCAGAGAAGCAGGGGAAAAGAATTACAACCACAAAGATTTCTCTAAAAATTAGGTTTTCTTGGATCTTAATTATAGTCATATTGATCAGAAGAAGTGCCCATCACAGTCTCTTCCATCAGTGTTTGAAGATGCCATGGCTCTTCTGTCCACCTCTTGCAGATAACCATCGAAATTCAGATTTCTCTAGCAGAGAACTACAGCTCTGCACCTTTTTAAAAGCCTGTTTGTATCTACAGCTGCCCTTCTGCAGAGATATACAGAAGAATCAAATCATATGAACTGCCATAAACCAAGGAAGAAATATTAACAATGATGTAATCCAAAAGACATTTTGAAGGTTAGAAGAAAAGATTAAAAAAAAGAACTAACAAAAAACCCCACCACAGACCATTCAACATGCAAAGATTCCACCTGAAAGTGCTATGAGAGACAGACATGTTTTGAAGAGCTGCTGTGGATGTTACTCCTCAGAACTCAAATCCCTTTCGTGTTTGTGCAGCCATCTCAGATCCCTAACTAGTCCAAGGTAGCTGTCAAGATGGACAGGATGTTCCAAAATAAGCGTAACATGGGCAACATGAGTTGCCTGTTGCTGAAGTGAGTCTCTTTTCCTGTTGGCAACAGAGGGAATTAAGGGAGCCCAGGTCCCCAGACAAGCTGGATGCAGAAGGCTACGTGGTGTAACTACCCTCACATCTCCACTGCTTCCCCACTGCCCCCTGTTCTCCTGCCTGGGCTGATGATCTGTCTGTGCAAGGAGGATCCCTATGGGATGAACTGGCTGAAGTAGCTCCAGCTCCAGAGTTCACTTCCCACCTCTCCTTTCCAACACTTCTCCTTGTTGTGGACCTGTTGATTTTGCTTTTCCTTTCAAATATTTTATTAGAAGTTACCAGTCAGAAGTGCAGCAATAACATACCTATTCCTACATAGAAACTACTGGAAGATTAATGAGTATGTTACAGCAACAGTATAAGGCATTGTTCCTAAAAAAGACTGCTTACCAGGATTTCTGGTGTATAGCCGTTTTCATGCAGAATTCATCCTGTGTTCTTCAGCAGAATGAAATTACACTGGCAATTTTTCAATAATTCTGGGTAATGAAGTCTCAGAGTTTCAAGGTAATCTAGATGTGGTTTGAGGCTAACTATTAAACAGACATTTTATGGTGCCATAGTTTCACATAAGCGTGTTTCACAAGTAACTCTGATAATTAATTAAGGCTTGTAGAAATCACTTACCGAGAGAATGGCCCAAAGGATTTTTTTTCCCATGCTATTTCCACATTCTACATTTATTGTTGTTCAAAGAGAAATTCAAGTATCTCATTATTTATTTCTGAAGATGCAGTGCTGCTCATTAAATAGCTATAGTTGTTCTCTCATTGACTTCCATTAGGTCCCATTTCTAGATTTAATGATTTCTCAGTTCCCTTAATGATCTCCGAGCTAAGACCAAGCTCATCAGGTTTTTTAGTGCACTCATTGGTCAACTTGCCTTGATGCCCAGACTCTGCCTCAGCTCAATACTCGCAACATTGACTGAATCATCTCTCTCCCCACTGAAGTTAAATTCTACTTGAAAAAGCAATTCAACATAATTAACCTCTTGCCTTTTTTTTTTTTTCCAATGCATCTGACAAAGTGGTTTCCCTCCATTGGAGCTCTGGAATAACAAATTTGTAGAAAGTAGCCAGTAACTGTATGGTAATATTTGCTTTCATGAACCTCAATTTTGCCTCACAAATGAAACATCTAAGTTACAACTAAATGCTGGGAGCAGTAAAAGTAAACTTAATTTATAAAAAACAACAGCAATCAATAAAGCATGCCTTAGCAGCTGCTAATGCTATGCACTTTGTGAAGAAAGCTGCTATTTAGTTAACATGACAGACTCACTTCTGAACAAGAAAGAGAAAGACCTGGTGGTAGGCTGAGAGATTAATAAAACAAGATAAATAAAAGTAGTAACATCAACATGTTTCTCACCTTGGAGTGTATCTGCAAGTGTGTCAGAGATATGTGGAAAAGGGAGGCAAAAGGACCAGTCAGCTAATAACCTAGTTCTGTTTTATCAGCACTTACATGTTTGAGGTTTTCCTCCCTATTGGCTATATTCTCTTACAATTCTTCATTGGTACATCACCACTAAATGGTGCAATGATGGGTTAAGCATCAAGCCCATGTTAGCCTAACCCATGTTAGGCTTGATCTGAATGGCCAAGAAAGTGGGACTGTCCTCACCATGAGGAAACTCAACAAGAGGTTCATCAGGAGGTGAGGAAACCAGCTCAGGTAGGCTTTGGACCTAGGGAGCTGGAGAAGGAGGAGGAAGGCCTTGGTGCTCAGGGAGCAGATATGTTCCCCTGGTGCACAGGCTTCATAGATATAACACAAAGGAGCAGGCAAGAGAGAGAACTGGTACAACAAAGGCAATGAAATGAGATGCCTAAAAACATAAGGGTAGATGCCAGCAGTTGCACTTCAGGGACTGCACGACAGGAACCACAAGCATGCGCGAGGCAGCATCGGTGAGGGGACTGCAAGAAGATGCTGCTTCTGGTTACATCCACGCTTCCTCCCTAATTCAGTGAGATGGAAGAGATAAAACTGGAAGCAAAATCTGGCTACTGTGTTCAACAGACCATGTATTCACTTTTACACATAGTTCTGGTTTGTCCTGAAGCTTTTGTTTGCAGTGCAAGAGCTTTCTAGATCTTCATTGTATTTTTACGGCTTACGTGCATTATCTCCTCCCAACTACTGAACCACACATTATGATACTTAATTTAAAATAAATGCTCATTAGATAATTTCCTTGTAGGTACAGGTGATATTTATATGAGACTTTTAAAAATTAATATCACTTTCTGCAAGTGCCAAAGGTACCAGTGCAGAGTAAAAACATTTTTTTCATGACAGCCAATTCCATTCTATAATGAAACTAGTGGGAGTTAGGCCCTTCACTTTCATGGGCACAATTCTGCACTCTAAATCATAAAAATAGTGTTTCTTGTTGCTTACTTAGAAAGTAAAGAATTTCTTCTCTGCATCAAGCTAAAAATATCAGCTGGAGAAAAAAAATACAAAGAATCAGCCTGCAAGTGTCATTCATCAGAAGTGTAAGAATTTGTTTTGCATTCTCTGAGAATAGCCAGATCCCCTGTTTAAATTTTTGGTGTAAGTAAATGCAAAGCAAATTGGGTCAAAGTCTTTTTCAGCAAAGTTCAGCACATGGCAATCTTTCCTAAGTGGGGTATAATTTAGGGGAAAAAAATTGGTTTGTTTTTAGTAAGATTAAGCTAATTACTTGACGTTATAGTTTCCATTTTTTCCCATATAGACTTTTTGAACACAGAAATGTTTTATCAGTAGATTCTACTCACAAGCTTGTGCTGGTTTTGGCTGGGACAGAGTTAATTTTTTCATAGTAGCTAGTATGGGACTATGTTTTGATTTGTGCTAAAAACAGTG